GGGTTCCACGTAATCACCAACAAATTCGTCAACATATTGAGGAAAAGCGATAGATGCAAGCGTCGTCAAGTAAGTGATGGATCATTGCTGCTTCCTTTAATGCACTATTTGTCATGATTCAAATCACATTCAAGACATTGCAGGCGCGCGACATGATCATCTCACAATATTGTGTTGAATTGGACAAGTTGGTGACAAATATATGTGGAATCGATATTCGGTCGAAACAAGAAGATCTATTCAATGAGTATCAAGATTTGGTTTCATGTTATTAAACGATGACATATATATTTTGTTTGATTCGGTTCGTGAGCATATTGATGATCAAGGTTTATGGGCGCAAGATTCATTCTTGGAAATGGATTAAAATACCAAGAATGACATTATCAAAGTAATTGGTTATTTTGCATTATCAATTGTAACCTAAGCAACCATGATTTGGGTGGAGCGCGACTCAAACAACAATGTTTGTGAGCTTAAAGCGCTTCCAATTATGCCTGCGGACATTGTTAAATTATCCATGTGAAATTCATTAGTGAATTTCTTGATCGGTTTCGAATGCATGTGCAAAAACACTGGTCACATGAAGACATAGATCAAATCAAAGAAAACCACAAAGAGTTGCCCAATGCATCAAAAAACAATATTTTGGTGAAGATAGCGCTTCAAAGTCACAACAAAAAGACATTTTTCAACGATGCTTGAGATTCAATCAAATCATTCAAGAAACAAGGTTCGAGCCAATTTTTAATGTCGAGGAATTTTAATGGAGGTTTTGCAACAGCCTTTGTGAACACATGTTAAATCAAATCCGATTACTCTATCGTGAAATGGGAAAAAAGATGATCAACAAACGGATCATCACAGTGTGTCTCTTGCTGACATCATGCATGCACGGTAGTATGGCGTTTTAAAATTGTTTAACTGATGAATAGAATTCAAGGAAGTTATACACACATACTATCGAATTGGATGAATTTTATAGTGTGATTTTTATCTTTTTGGTCTTGCTGTCACATTATGTGAGTTGAATGTCAATCATGAAGTATGAGTATCGTGAATATGTAGTAAGTGACTGGAAAGATACTAGAAATTACTAAATTTCCTTTTTGTAAACTGATTGTGAATATAAATTAAAGTATCGCATGATCATCTGATGAAATCGCTTTCTATCAGTATTATAGTTAGTGATGTGCCATAACTTGACTGTACATTCAAAGAAGTGTAGTGGGTTGAAAGAAGTTCATACTTCCTTTTTGGAGGAAACTCAATTGCAAAAGTGCAAAGTTTATGTACATATATTGTCATAGAAGGTACCATTGCTTTTGAATTTTTGACATCAAGAAGCAGCTTGTGGAATAGTATTGCTTCTTTGATTCTAGTCATGTAGAATATTCAAGGTGAAAGCACAATGCACATTCGTTTGTCATGCTTGACTTTGTCTTTGTATTTAAAGCCAATCTGTTCTACTTTCTCATGAATGTGTAAACTGTAAAAAGTTCAACTTTAGTTTCTGACATTGGATTCTAACACTCCAGTGCTAGAATATTCTAGTAATGAAATTGAACTTTTTTCTAGTTTTAGGACCGAGACAGACGATGTCACTCAGGTTTAAAGGAGACATACATTTCACGTCTTGTGGATTTTGGAAGTTGATTGTATTAAGTTAAAGTCTAACTTTTCATCGTTAGAATTAAAAACCTCAAAGTTATTTTTTTTCACGTACAAGCTCTATGTGCTTTAAATATCGTCATTGTAAATAATCATGATGTCTTTTCATGAACTATTTTAAATTCTTGTCAGATATTGATGGCTATGGGTGTCCAATAAATGTAACATGACAGGTGACAGAATCTATATTAGCCACAACGTAAAAACAATCACGGCTAAAGTTATTTTTTGAAATGAGCTCAATCTCCTATGATTTGAAGACTGCCACACCAACTTTTTATTACAAATGCCACAAATGGTACTTAGAAAAAATGTTGAGTGCCACCGGTAACTAAAAAGTGGCAAATACCACTTTTAAGAAGGTCTGGATTATAAGCTGTATTATGTAAGAAAAGCTTTATTTTTCCATTCGTCCGTAGAGGTAGTTCAAACTCATCTCAATGGATGTAGCGTGATGTTGGTTCGACAAAGACGAAGGAACGTCCATAATGAGGAGGTGGTAGATTGCGTAGGTTGGGACGTGTCACAGATGGAAAGCTTCTATTGCAATGATAGAATTGATATAACGTTTGGAATGGAAGATCGTACTTCTCCGTCCTCTCGTTTGGAAACCGCCACAGATAACTAAGAGAATTGAGCATATAGTAGTTTCCAACGAACCCAACTTATTAGGCCTTATATGAGAGATTGAGACCACAAAAATTTATTCTTTAGTTGTTGGAGCTTTTTGATATGTTATGGTCATCACAAAGTTCCATCATCGAACTCCACAGGTAGCATGACATCTTGAATAATGCCGATGCTTTCATTCTGGACTTACTTTTACACTGTTGGCCGGTTATGGGAGGAAGCAGAAGTAAGATCACTTCTTGTCTAACGTTTGAAAGCGAGGACATTGTAGAAATCAAGGCTTAAATTTGTTGATGAGACCTTGAAGATGTTGTACTGCAAGGAGATGTAGAAACACATTGCAGCGTTGGAGATGGAAATCTTTGCATCCAGAAGTCAAGAATTCATGCTGAAGCGTCTAGCTGTGCACAAAATCACTACCAATGGATAAAGTCTGCATGTTGTCATCGGAATATAACCCGTTTTTGAAAATAATCTTTGGAGGAATTCAATTAACAAAACCTAGATGCCCACATGTTAACAATTGAAAAAACTTGAGGTAGAGAAGTACATTGTTATTCGCTTTGCGATGAAAAGAAGCGATAACAAAGAAAACTGTTCGGATTGATTAATTGACGAGGAGAAAAACAAGACGAAGGATTTTTTGAATCTAAAGAATCATGTTGATAGCAAAAATGAATTATCACAGATGACAAAAACCTTTATCAGCACTTTCATGCGAATATATATTGCCATACACTTTACATCGCTGACATCATACTCACATATATAAACAGACGTCTAGGACACAAGAACATACACATTCAAATATACCACAATTGGAAATTAAAGTGATGATCTTATTGGTAAACGATTCAGTCCTGATTATCCCACTAGCAAACAAGACCGTCACACATACATAGAGTCAAACCCAATCCACTCGTCTTGAGAATCCAGGGCGACGCTTGAGTACACTCACTAGACCCACGGTACAGGCTCAACTTGAAAAACTAAACGTTCTTAGAGTCCTCGATGAACAATAACCTTAGACCGACAGCTACATATAGTTTATGCAAAAATACATGACACATCGGACTACAACGCATACGGAGGGAAGTATTATGCTAAAAAATGATGTAGAAGTAAAAGGGTCAAATTAGTTTGTTTTACAATTGATATATGACATGAGTCAATGAAATGATATTTGAATGATTTACACAAATATGAACATAAAATTATTCTTGATTTTGGATAAAAATCATTCATTTTTCCAATAAATTTAAAATTAAATGCGTATATTTGATTGGTATGCTCATGTTGTTTAATATCTTTGTAACAACTAAAAACAATTAGCAAATCAGTTTCAAGTTTGATTGGAATTTTTTTGTAACTGCAAACACCTTCCATCAAAATCTTATTGCAATCCAAAATCAAAACATGAGAGTAACATTTGTTTGAGTTTGATTCTTAATTCACATAAATGCAACACTTTAGATTATGTTGCTTGAATACTCTTAAGCAAAAACAAATAAGGTATTTATTTGATGACACTCCATTGGAACGTAAACTGTTTGATGGGACCCATCGAGTTTTGTTTTACCCGATGAGACCAAACGACGATGTGTTGTTGGTGAGTTCTAATACATGTTCTTGTACAAAAATGTGTATATGTATTTGTATAAGATGTTGCCCACGGCCAAGTCGGTCAACAACGTCCAAGGTGTGGCAACAGCCAAGCAAGATAATACTCTGCTGCTCGTTGATGATGAATGTGCATGAATTCTAAAAAATCGGACTTTACGAGTTACTCTAACGTCCATCGTCAAGAGGTTATGAATACTCGCTTGTGATAAATAGATTACTCTTTCTCAAGAAGAGTAGCGTCATCCAATTCGGGCGTAGATTCCAAGTTCTTGCACGCATTTATCTCACAAATTAAATAACATTCTCAGCATGAATTCACAGTCAGAACTCCACTACGTTGAGACAGAGCGTCTAATATCAAGGGTCGCAAGCTCCATTGCGTTGCGGCCATGCTCCATTGTGTTGTGACCGAGCCATTACATTGTATGTTCATACTAGAACAGGTGTGACGTGTAACGTCGGTGTGGTTTCATTTGGTAAAAGGAAATTTGATGGTTCCCATCAAGTACTTTCCATGAGGTACCTTCAAGTAAATAACTTGGAATAAATTGAATCTTTGTGATCATGTTTGTCTTGTTGAAAATTTGCTTTGAAACTTATTGAAATAAAGAAAATCTTACGACATAAATTACATTTTGTCATACTTTCAATCTTACATGAACTAGAAGAAGATTTTTGTGAAATTTGAAATTCTTGTTACTTCTGGCTGGAGGCACAAGTTACCTTTAAAAGACTCAAAACAATCTCAATTGTTATATATATCCATTATTGAGTTTTGCGTCATAAGTTTATATTCCCGATGGTTTATTCTCTTTGACTTCATATGGCGCCTTAAGCCTCCCGTCTCTTTTACATACATGTATGTATATGTGACGGGAAATCAGCCTAAGAAAACCTTGGATGGTTCAGGTGCCGTATAAAAACAAAAGAACAGTAAAAACTGCAACATCTCGTAAAACGCATGTGAATAGACGATGGCCAATACGAAGTAGCCACACGACGCGGCAGCATGTGATGGAGGTTTCTCACAGAGATTGGGCTCGCACCACACACTGTCAGAGTCACGCAAAGGCAGAGCAAGACACAGAGACGAAGCAGACGAAATGCGCGACATAGCAACAGCAGCAGATCACGGACGACGAGTCAAGTGTGCGCGCCCCTCTGACGGAGTCATCAGACCAGCAGAGGATTGCTCCTCTAGTCGGACACTAGAGTAACTAGTGCACTGTCATGCGCTAGGCATTCCATAGATTGTGCGCGAGACTGAACTTCGCGTGGGGGTTGTCGAATTGTTCAGTCCCGGCAGAGCAGAGGAATAACAGAGTGGAACTAACTCAGCCGCTCAGGTTGTAAAGATCATGGCCATGGCAGTGGCAATGGGGTTGCCGCCGATCGTGCTGTCTTCATTTACACAGTCACCGTGCTTGGAACGGAGAACCGCGGGGCTTCGCGGTGTAGCGCCTTTGCGTTTTCCGAAATTGAGGTCAGTTCAAATCCGGGCAGCTACTGGGGTCGAAACTTCGCCGCCGTCCAATGCTGCTGGCGCCAGCTCGTCGAAGGAAATTATTCCTGATACCGAACTCACCATTACAAAGGTGAGGGGAATTTGTCCTTTTATTTTCTAAAATATTCAAGTCAACATTAGATGAGAGTGGAGTTTTCGTTACTAGGGGATTGTGCTTAATTTTCTGGGTGTAAGGTCTACTGGTGTTCACATTCGTAGTCCCTAGTGCTGATCCCAGCTACAAAGTATTTGGACATAAGAGCGGCAGAATGATCCTCCGTTGTGCTCACCTTACAGTACGTTTTTGAATATTTTTGTTGTCTTGCAGACTTCTTTCGGGACAATCGGCCTTTCAGTTGGATTGGGATTGCTGTCGTAAGTCATCTATACTCATGACTCGTCCGAGTTTCTCTGTAGACGCTCTATTTTTTGTGAGATTTTGCATCAGAGTCGGTGATTCCTGACCAAAGTGAACGATGTGATCAGATATGGATTTGGAGCATACTTCACGTTTTTGCCAGGATCTGAGTGGTCAGCCCTGATGTTGACATACGGCTTTCCATTAGCAATCATCGGGATGGCTCTGAAGGTAAGTAATCTTTTGAACTGGAATCAATTATCATTATTGAGTCATCGTTGTTTTGAAAATAAAGTGCTTGTATAGGCTTGAACGGGCAAAATAGCATATATTGTTCAACTGAGCAAATTTTCATTCCAGTTCTTGAAAAAAAATCTTGGAATCTTGGAAAATGCATGTTCATGTCGAATTATGCATCTGTCACTGCGTGGAGTTGAAGCATTTTGCACAATTTCTTTTAAGCGCACTTCTAATTGGACATTACACTAATGGCACAGATGATAAAGGAAGCATTTGCCCAGGAAACCTGAATTGGCTCTGATTCACCTTGTTGCAGTATGCAGAGTTGAAACCTGTTCCTTGCATAACGTATGCCGACGCATTTGCCCTTAGGGAATCTCAAACAACCCCAATTTTGACTCAGGTAAGATGCTGAGAAAACACAACGTTCAGCAACTCTGTTCGAGTTTTCTCTCTAGAGCATATTTTCTAAGTCTCAGCTTGCAATGTACATGGCAGAGACAAAGTTTCTTTCTAAAACTGGCTGCTCCTTCCTTTCATTTACTGTCTTTCTAAATACCAGATTTACTGTAAGCATGCATGTTCTTAGGGTCCTAGTTGCTTGTGTCCGTCTGCATATTGGAACAATTTAAGTAAGAATGTTCTCCGACGATCCTGTTAAAAGCCTAATTAGTGCAACACACTTTCACCTTCATCAATCAATAATGAGTTGTCAACGCAAAATCGTGGATCCCCTATCTTCAGAATTCATTGGGAAGATTTTTCAATTTTTTATCAGCAGGGGTAATTGCCACGCTTTTAAGCCGTTTTTAATTTCATTTAGCGAACAAGCATCCAAATGAATTGCGGTTCATCGGTTGCGTGAAGATCGGCCACGACGGATGACCCCCACGTCTTGTTTGTTGAAGGTCCGAAACGATGTGACACGTTTTCGGTATGGAGATGAACAACATCTTGAAGAGGCGTTGAAGAGGATCTTCCGTTATGGCCTGGTTAGAACTTCTCTTATGTTGACTTCATTTGGTACTGTCGGAGGAAGCAACTAACGATTCTAGAAAATCTGTTGGAATACTTCGGTTCAACAGTTCTAAAAAACCCAGGCTCTTTCTCCTCTGTTTGTTTCGTACATCTTATGCGTACTTACGCAGAAGATGGCGTCTATTCTGAATCCTCAAGTTTGTCGAATTTGTTTCTAATTCAGGGAGGAGGCATTCAAAGGCGGAATGCTCCTACTTTAACATCCATCAGGGAAGAGGTACGATCTTTCTTTTAGACATAAGCAGGTGTTAAAGACACGTTCGGCTAACTTGAACTCTGCGGGTCCGTAGTAGAAGTCTTTCAGAAGCCATGCAAAACATCACTGTAATTATAACCTTTTGTCCAGCTGTTTAAAGAGTGTTGAAAGATATAGCACAAGGCGTGCAAAGTATAAATGCTTGGTGGGCGATTTGTTATGCAGGTCAGCCAGGATGGCTTCTACACATTAGTGCTTGTGTTCGAAGCCAAGGCATTGAAGTTGCCTGAGTTTGAGACAAGACAGGTACAAATTGATGAGAGGAAACGTCGTTTAAATCTAACTTTTTCCTCTGTTAAATACCGGCGACGTCTGGATGAAACTGAGATTTATCTGATAAGCATTTTAAGGGATTCGAGTGCACAGATAACAGACTCATAAGTCTGCATGTTCTATTTTGCAGGCAAAATTTACTTCTTTCTTCGGACCTGGTGTGACTGCGAAAATTAGTAAGTTTAATTCCCGAGAACTTTCCATAATTGGGTTCCTTCTCTCACTGGTGAAGGTGTGAAGCTTTATATTCTGGGTTGGCTTGTGATTATTCTGACATGCTGGTCTGGTGAAAACTGTGCAGGCACACCAGAGCCAAATATTTATGAGGTGGCACTTGTTGCTGACAAAGGTCTACAACCATCAGATGCTACCCCCGCATCACCATCCTCATAGAAGGATGGTCTAGCTTTGTAAGATGTTAGGTACAGATCCGGAGAGCGTGGCTTCAAAGAAAGAACCAGTCTGCGGTGTTCATGCCAGTTCACCTTGCTAGTGTCACATCGTTTAGCAGATGATTTGAACTGAAACTGAAGTGGCCCGTCGTTGTGAGCTGCTTGTGTACTATAAGCACTGTATGTATCACCAGTATTATTTAGTCCAAAGCTCTGCCCGAGCCAAGCTTATCCCATGATCACGCTGTTCTCTCTGGTTTGTGTCCGTCCAAGTTATCTCCTTGTCTAATTCTTGGCCAGTCGCGAAGATTTCTTCTGTCTTATGAGTGGGCTGGCACTATCTTGTGTTAACGAGGTCGACAAGCCCGTAAAGCCCGGGGCCTTGATTACTTCCTCCAGTCTAACGTCGCCAATCTCGGAATGCGAGTACTCATCAGAACACGCCGTGTCCGCGTAGTCTTCACGTCCATTAAAGGTTTGACTTGCGAGGCGAGATTTCATGGAATGGTATGATTGTTGTAGATTTTTCTCATCATCATGCATTTTATCCAGATATTATGACGGATCATCCAACACGATTTCGAGTCAATATGCTCTGGACGCCTCACTGCCCTGCTGCAACCAGAGAAGTATCCAGTCAACCAACGAAATATGAATATTTTTGTGTTATGTCTTAACTTTGCTACACAAACTCTGTATGAAACAAGAATTCCGTTAATTAAATGTTCTGCAGCAGGTCACGACTATTAAAAGTTAGGATTTATTGAAAGGTAATTGACAAGTACCAATGAAATCAATTTCACAAACAAAAGCTTTGAAAATGTAATATTTTTGGTCATATTAAGAATCCATACGTCATGTATATCATATTTTGATTTTTTTTAAATAATTTATCATTGACAAATTCATATATCGATTCAAAAAAATACGCAATACAGATATCATGTCAATTATGATGATCAATGTCATATGTTCATTCTTTCAACATCATATTTGAAGAAATTGAATATATATAGTTTTCAAAAGTAAATTGATGTATACACATACTAATAGTATGTGTAAGTTTTTATATAAGTTCTATGTTTATTTATACATAGTATAATACTATGTATAAATAAACATAGAACTTATATAAAAAATATTAAAAATTGAGTAATATTTAAGATAATTAGAATGTGATAATATTAACTTTTGCATTGAGATGAATAATATGATTTTATAATGTTATTGTACTTATAATAATTTCAAATTTATATTATATATGAAAATAAAAAACGCAAATTTATCAAGTGCGCCAAACATTCTTGCCACATATATATCTTTACTTCCAATATTGTTATAGATATAACTATATATTTCTATATTTGAAACTATTTTTAAGAGTTTTTTTCTAAATACACTTACAATTTTTAAAATTTTTACATCTTCTTAAAGAAAATTAATTGATTAGGTATTGTCACTTCATTATTTTTGCAATGAATTCAAAACTTTTAAATTCACAAAGATAAGATATAATGCATAACACATAAACATAATCTAATCAAATGTGTAAATAAAATTTTTAAAATGACTTTTAAATTGAATTTAATTCTGGTAAAGAAGTAACCTTATGTTTAGTTGTTTGTAGTTGAGATTTATAGTCTATGTTGGGTAAATATATCTAAGTTTTGTGTTTTACCATATAGAATTCGCGCTATACTGTCACGATGCTTTTGCACTGTGGAAATAGCCCTTGAGTTATAAGTTGATCTTTCATCTCGATTGCTTGATTGGAATGTATCACTATGACTCTTGTGGTTTGCGTTTACAATTGATATTAAGTACGTCAAGAAGATTCTTTCCACTTGAAAGAATATTTTGTTTGTAAATATTTTGTACAATAGAATCTTTGTCAAAATATAGAGATATTGGATATTTTTGAAAAGCTCTGGACGTAAGTAATGAATTTAGACTATTTTCAAGAGCTAAAAGATGACATAGACGGAGAAAATTACCCTGAAAGTTACATTTATATCTAGATTTTTGACGGGATGACAACGTAATAGATTAGAGGACCTAGAATGACAATAATCATGCTTTGGAAAAACAATGTTAGAGGTTATGGAATCTAAAAGCATGTGAGATTTGTTGTTAGTATGAATGTACCTGTCAATGAAAACTTACTCATTGAAAGAAGTGGAGAGTTTCTAAGCTCTTGATAATGACAAGAGAAAAATATCCACTCACGCATATGGTTGTGAAGGAGTTTGATCCTTATGTGATCAATGATCAAGAAGTACCACCGGTATTGGTGGGATAGTGAGCACGTGATTGAAACTATAAATTCAAGTGATTGAACTAATCAAAGATTTATGATAAAGTCACTCCAGATCATGCATTGACCAAATTCAATACTTTGGACAGATTCAGACGACACTACGTTACTTTGCATGTTGTGCTTAGGGAGCACAAGAGATTATTGCTAACATAATATCTTCAGTCATCTCTTTACATTTGTTCTCTATCATGTGATGATTATGTCTTAGTTCTACTTATTTCTTGTTTAAAGACTGGTCTTGTGTTATGTTTCTTTCTAAAACTTCCAACGTGATAATTATATAAGTTAGTAGATTTTTGTTCTCTCTATGTTAGCAGGTTTTTAGTTATCTCTATATATTATTATTCTATCCTGTTATGATTATGACTTAGTTCTAGTTCATTCTCATTTAGAAAGTGACGTTGTGTTAGGTTTCCGTTTAGAATTCCAAGTGCACTAATAACATAGGTTAGAGAGGACAATAAGATTACTTAAAACGAGTTAAGTGGGAAATTGTCAAGTTTAACTCTAGTTAAGGAGTAATATCATGTTTAGCTATTTATAGTTGAAATTTGTCATTGGTGTTGGGTACATATATCCAAGATTTGTGTATTACCAGACTGAAAGCACACTATACCTTGAGGGTGAATCACGTTATATTCTGGTTTCTCGTCTCGATGTCTTGGCTTGAGTGTATCATTGTGTATCTTTTATTTTACATTTACATTTTAAACTTCAACTTTTTTGTATTTTATATATACATGATGATTATTTTGGTTTTAATAAAAGTGATCAGTCAATTTATTTTGAAATTTAACGGTTTATTCAATATTAGAATAAAATTAAGCCTGAACACTTATTATCAAATTGACTTTGAAATTAAAATCATTTAAAAATTTTCAATTACATTTTCTAAAAATATGTATGTAGTTTTGATAATCATACAATTTTATTTGAATATCTTAATTCATGGAAGTATATATTTTATATATCTGATAATCCTAAATACAAAATACCCTATTGAGATTTTTTTTACTGAAAGCATACATTTATATGTGATAAATAAATATCTTTTTTACAAATTATTAATTTATAATTATATTAGATTATAAGTAAATTATTTTCTTACGACAGATGTTATTATGATATATCATGAATTGTATCAAATTTTCTTGAAATATTGTTTCATAATTATCTTATACATTATGAAATGGATATACATATTTAATTTATATTTTAATGTGATAAATTTTGGATGTACTTATCATGGATTTGTCAACAAAATGTTATTAATGAATTCTAACATGTTCATCAAATGACACATATCTACAATTTTTAATTACAAATTATATATTTCAGGTCACATTGCCATATCCGTCAAATATCTATGTGTTCATTAACACTAAGTGATAATTTAGCTCTTGATTGATTCTTTAATTATTATTATTAGTTAGACTAGTCAACTTGTGTTATATTGAAGAGAGCTGGCTCAAACTCTCTCAAAAAAAATAATAATTTCAATACATGAGTCTAGTCTTTTATGTACATAATATCACTCAGACTAATCATATACTTTGTGTGCTGAATCTGATGTATGATATACTGAAAAATCAATTGATGACTGAAATCAATACATTAAAAAATATAGATGATTTAAATAAGCAGGTCAATAAAGTAAAAATATGTTTGATTTAACAAAGTAAATTGAATTTCTATCTTTCAAAACATCACAGATTCATAATTATCATGCGTTAATAGAAATTTCGTTTACAAATGTTAAAATAGAAATTCAAGTTATTTATATTTGATGTAATAAAATGATGTGCTATTTAGGAAAATTTTCTTTGCTAAAATAACATCTTTGCAATGAAAAAATTCAAAATACACTTACGATGACTTAGAATTTCCATATTTATTCATTGGAAAATAATAGATTCAGAAAAGTGTGCTATGAATCAAGAAATAAATCAGAGCAGAATATGATGCAAATTGTCACTCAAATCGTGTTCCAAAACCTTGTCACTCTATACCCAAAACAGAAGAACAAACTCAAATCCTATAGAAAAAATGCTCACTCCATGTGACATTGTGATGGTAACAAAAATCAAACCTTCTAGGAGGTTTGAACAAAAGCACAAACATGAAAAACTCTCCGTTTTCCAAGCTGTCCAAAGTTCATGCGTTACACGGAAAGTATGAATATTTTGCACAACCAAAATCCATATTTCATTGCACGAGTACGAAAATATGAACTACACATTAAACGACACCTGTCTGCATGCAAGGAGTACATTCGATCAAAAAAGAAAATAGCTAAAATGAGCAAGTAGTCACCTCGGCTTGTGTGGCAGAAAGTAATCTAATCTTCAATATTTGTTGAGGGTTCAATACGATTAATTTACATATTCATCCTGGATAAATAAATCACTAGCTATCATCGGGATATATACTTATATCATCATTGAATGTAAACCATATATATATATATATATATATATATATATAAGATAGATGTCCTGTTGATGTGGCCATTTGAGATGTATAAAATATTGCATAAAATGTATACTCATACATGGATGGTATAGATTTTACAGATTTTTACTAATTGAATTTAGTCTACAAAATTGCAGATTTATACAAAGATAAACCGCGTGTAAAAATGTGGGTTAAGTGACATAGACAAAGAGACCATGTAGATTTTTGTAAGCATCTCTGGTGAATGAAAGACGAAGAATAACAATTTAACCAACTTAGATTTGACTTAGCATAAGAGGGAAGAATCAATAACCATTTGCCAAACACCGACTAAGATTTTTTTCCGCCAACAAGATTGTATATCACGTTCAAGCTATATAACTCGAGCATTCAATAGCAAAAAGGTTTCTATGGGAGGACAACAATATCCGGGCCCCTCGTCTGTTCTCAACCAGAGAATCTTTCCATTGCAGTCAACCCTTTGCAATTTCTCACGAACGATTTCGGGATGGATGTGCAAGCGTGAACTGTGCAATGCATAAAGAAGAGCCCCCTATTCCGTGTGAATATCCGTCCGTGCCAATCAGGAATGAGGACAAATTTTTGATATTTTTGATATTTGTTATTGTCTCCACTGGCAGACTTGTTTTTATGAGAGCTTCTTTCATAATATTATGTTGATCTCATTCATGTCCGGCTAAAGTGTTGTGAAAGAGAATATAAATATGATCTATTTATTTGCAATGACTACCCTCTTGCCAGAGAAACAGTGATATAGCTGAAAACGCTCGCCGCACCCAACTATCATCGGTGGAGAACAGAACGAAAGAGAATGAGTAAATGATCTCACGAATTTTGGGTGATTCTCCCCACCATGGATAGATCATCTGGAGGACCAGCATATATTTAGCACAATTGACCACATGAGTAGAAATTCGTGGGGAAGTTCTGTTTGTTTGTGAACAATGCTCTCATCTTATATACCACTGTATATTCAAGACGTTGACATAGAGCTCTTATATTGGAGCCACCGATACTTTCAATCAATCCTTCTGATCTGATTCTGATCCTTCTGCTGCAAGTTGTTTCTTGTGCTCATGAGCGCATGAGAGTTACACTATGAGAGGAAGATTTTGTAGAGTCCCACCTCTTTTTCTTGGGAGCAAGCAATCTGATTGAGTTAGATATCATTAATCATTCGTCGGTGGGTCGGTGGCAATGGAACTATCTATCCAGCAACACTCTGAGGGATACCACCGAGGGAGTGAGGGACTCGGTGAAAGTTTCCTTGGTTTGTGGCGCTTCGTGAGTGCTTTCAGATGCTTCGACGATTGTTTACTTGATGGGCAGTGTACTATCTGGAGAGGAGACGCAGATGTGGTCCCGGACATTTGATCTAGATCCAGATACAGATTGAGTATGGCTTGTGACGTGATACGCGACGAGCAACTGCGACGTTAGGAGGACAATGTCATGACATGTACTTAAATATATGATACTTTCCCAGTACTCTTTGCGGACTCAAAGCCTCCACCGCATCTAATGGATGGGTTTCAAGCGAGTCCTTGAAATATCTTCCTCTCCTTTTCATCTGGGCTCCGTCTTTGCCCACTTCCTGATTTCATCGGAATTTGGTGTCCCTGCTTGAGATTCCTTGATGGGAGTTTGGTTTTCTTTGAGGTCCTTGCTTCCTCGTCCCTGCAATAACGTTGCGAGTTTTCGTTGCTCGACGGTGCCACTTGCAGTGGGATTCATGTAGCTCAGGAGAGCGAATGTCATTCTCAATACAGCTGCTGTAACAATTTGTTGACTCCCTCCCTATACAGTTTCCTGATCCAACGTATGAACTAGTGGACTGTAGCTGGAGAGTAGAGCTTGGCCCAGGAAAGTCAAGGACGCAAGGATAGGTTTCTCTCATAACAGATGAGAGAAATCGAGTAGCTGAACACGCTCCCCAAAAAGGCAATGAACGAAAGCCTAGTAGCAGAAAAGCAGCTGATAGGACGACGAAATTCACGGTGCCGTGCTATGGCCGTAAGTAATGCTGTGTGGCCATCACCTGTGACCTACACGACGAATTCAGTTTTATCGTTGTAACAACAGCACTTGAGCATTCCACAGCCATCAAGCGTGACGAGCCAGGCCTTAGCAAGCAGTTGCAGCTGGGCAAAGGCCACTAGTTTGCAGGTGCTTGCCAAATGCAAGCAACACCAGACGAGAGCACTGTGCCCATCATTTATTAGTCTTCTCCGTCCAGACAGCCATCTGATGAGCATACAGAGGTTAGGCAGGACTTTGAGTTTCAGAGCTGGCTGAATTGGCTGCTCCATTTCAAACTCCTCTTTTTCAGACGCGGAGGCGGTATGAAGGACGGAAGGAAGGAAGGAAGAAAGGAGCCACGATTGGGGTGAGGAGCTAATGCCAGGCAGTAAACGACGGCTTTTTTGGACTTTGATCACGTGAAGGGAAGGAGATGTCAATTGACATGAACAATGTCATGCAAAAGCACTGGTTCTGCTCATGAATGTGGGTTTCACTCCTCTGATTAGGAAACATTTCTTCAACAGTGACTTGGGACTTGAGAAAACTTGTCAAAGGAGAGATGCTCAAACAAAAGGGACAATTATGACATGGTACACAAATTCGTGTAAGTACGGTAAAGGTGACTAAATTAAGATAAGAGCAGACACATAACTTACTTGGGAAAGGGTTCACTATTTTTTCTTCGTTGTGCAGTGTGTATAGTAACCAAATTTTAGATTATATCACACAAAACAAGGGTCATTGCACAAGTTGCCAGATACATCAGAAACTTGATCTGCTCGTAGTAGTTACATCCGTGGTCAGTTCTTGGGCACAAAGGATGACCAAATTTCACCCCATGCACAGCAAGACATCAGCCAATCATTCAATGAACTAGCACTGTATAGGAATTATAGACGATTTATAACTGGCATACGATCGACTTGAAAACTTTCACGGCTGATCTACAATGTCTGCGTTCATGAGTCACGGTTTCTTGGTGGGCGCCCCATCTTCTGCAGTTCAAAACTTAGTGCAGTTTACTAGACTAGTCTGCTGATTGTTAGAGCTGTCGGAGGGAATGAAAAGTGCTTCTGAAACGTCAAGACTACTAAGGAAAGTAGCATACAAAGAAACATATTCCTTTCCTCAGCAGTTGTTCAGCTGAGGTTCAAACAACTCGATGTCTATCCAAGCTGTCCCCGTCCCCAGTCCACTACTTCATCCACGAGCACAATTGAGTGATAGACCTTCAAAGAGAGAGTGAGAGAGGGAGAGAGAGAAAGTGTGTGTCTCTCTCTATATCTTTAGACGCGAAGAGGACGAGGTAAACTATTGTTTGCAATCCCAATGGGTGGAGATGAAATGTTACTCATGCTTCGTCCAAATTGTATGATTCCTCCAAACGCGTTAAGGAGGCTTCATGGACTTGGAATCCCTCATTCGTTCATGCAAATGGCGGGTGTCGCTCGGTGGACTGAGGGGTTATTGCCGGCCGTCGTGGTTTTTTACTTTGGAATCGATGTAGCGAAGCCACTCATCAGCCATGTGTCACGGTATGCTGTACTGACCACCTCTAAGTTAGTGAGAAGAGATGAGCCCCAAATGTTAGGAGTGCCAAACGCTCGATCACTCACGTAGTTCTACCAGATCTGAAACTTCGATATAATATTTTGTTCAGTCGTTCCGAGAAAATGAGACTCCAATCAAAATCAAATTCTCGATAGAGAACATACGTGGCTCTCTCTTTCCAAGAGTCTTCGATATATTAATTTGTTCAGTCGTTCCGAGAAAATGAAACTTCAATCAAAATCAAATTCTCGATAGAGAACATACGTGGCTCTCTTTTTCCAAGAATGTGACTATTCTCGATTCGAGAGCACCGGCAGGAAACATTACCTTCATGTCTTTCATGATCTCTCTCATCCTCAAACTTCGCAACCGAGAATTTCAGCTCACTCCACGGTTATAAATACAAAGCAGACTCTCGTGTGTTTGGAGTTCCAACACCGAAGAGAGACGTACTCCAAAGGATTTACTTTTCTGCCCTGCATGTAATGTGAGAAACCGTAATGCGACAGGAGTGAGGCATTGAACTGTTGGGCTGTCTCGGTAGGAGTGGGCTTTGAAAACATATCACACTCGTGGAGGTATGACTGCACGAGACTTCAATTCCATGCGGACTGCCAACCGTTGGAAATCAAAGCAAGGCCGTGATGTGACGGTGGACAAACTGGGACCTGCAGACGATGCTTAGTACGTGCGTGTGTTTCGCATTTGAGACAATGCCATGTCGTTTGTTTGGAAGTTGGAATCTGGCTGGTCGGATCTCTCACCGGGCACCAGGCAGGTACAGTGAAGTCTAGCCCTGAGAATGAGGTCGGAGGAATACAGACAGAAAGCAACAAGCAAGCGTTCGTGGAGAGGGTGGAATTTTAGAAAATTGCGTCAGGATCCATGCCCAGCCCCGTCTCTGGAAGGTAATACCGCTCCGTCTCTTCCACCACGTCCCCACTAGTAGATTAGGCGAGGTATGGCATGGCATGGCATGGCATGGTCAGGTATGGTCCGGTGTAGTAAGACAGTGACAGTCAGCGTGCAGTGGCTGTGCCAGTCAAAGTGGAAATTAATGTGCCCTTGACTGACTAGGTAGGCTTGACTATTCTCCTCCTCCACACTTCCCAACGCCAACTCACATCTCAAGAACAAGAACAGAACAGAACAGTACTACTCCTGCTGCTGCTGTCTACATCTCATTCTACTGTTTATCCCTTCTGCTGCTGATCTGACCTAAAACTACCCATCCCAGGTATAAGTGTGAGTCTGAACCAAAATGATCAGTCAACGAAAAGTCGGTGTGAGGCACAGTTTGCTTCTCCCAGACCTTCCTGTCCCATGCCTCTCATCTCGAACCCTCGGTTCGATCCTGTTCATGCAGCAGCGAGAAAATCAAATCGAAGCAAAGCAACAATGGCATAAGATTTTATAAACAATGATGACCAGCAGCAGCAGTGCTACCCCAATTGAGAGAGGGGATAGATGTGTGGGAGGGAGGGCCGAAAGGAGGGGAGCGGATGTAACGGACACATGGGCCCAGCTCAGACAATCTAGGTATCAATCAAGTCAGACGGACCTCTTCATGCAGGGCTGACGAGTCCATCATCTCTTTAATCAAAGTTAGAGAGAGGGAGAAGGAAGGAAGGAAGGAGAGAGAGAGAGAGAGGGGAAGATCAGCATAACTCTAATTTAATGAAGGTTTTCAGACTTTTTATTTATGTGAATCTTCCCCAGGTACAACACTGTTCGCTAAGCGGTCGTTTGTTGACTTGCGAGTGATACTTTAAGCCCATCCATTCATGCGTAAATGTATCATTGTGCCAGCATGCTGCTGAGGTGTGTGCTGTGTTCCAAACGAAGAGATCACCAACACACAGCTGCAACAACACATTCAAGTCAAACGACCGAACATGCACCTAGCACGGGTATCCGGGAGCCAGTGGAGCCGAACCTTTCTTCCTTGTACGCAATGAAAGCAATTGGATCGAGTTCCACTTAATCTCCTGAATTTCAAATGTACACAACAGTGTTCGCAAAATCTATCTCTCGATTGCGAAGGTGACTCCTCCTCTTATTCACAGTACAAAGGAATCAGCTTCTTGAAATACATGGACGAGGCCGTATGCTCTTGGAACTAGTAGGGCACGTTTTTTTTTCTCTCTCCTCTCCCTCTCTCCCTCTCTCTTGCTTTGATTCCTCTGCGGAATCCCAATCGGAATATTTCAAATGAGCGCAGGCTGGAACTATAGAGCAAGTTTTAACCTCAGGTCCAGAATATCTTCGTCTCGGATTCGGGCAGACTTGAGCGGCCGATTCCCGGAGAAATTATTGCTCGGAGGAGACCCGAGAGGGAGAACATTTTCGCTTTCAACGGCACAACCGGTTCTCAAACTCTTGTGTTTCTCCAGGTCAACGGCTCCGGATTCCTGCGGCCAGAATAAAACCGACGTTCAGGCCCCTTTGACTGCAAAGCGAGAGCATAGAGAGGACCAGGCAATCTAGCGCCCATAGCATCGGCTGGGGATTCCGATTCCGGGCACAATATTCGCTCTATCCAATTGCGGGGCAAGCACTGGAAGATCATGCGGCGGAAAATCCAGCCATCGCCGTGGGCCGATGCCAGGCCCAAGTCCTGAGCGCACGTACCTGTTTGACGCTAAGCGGAGTTCGAAGCTGCAATGGCGAGCCATCGTCAGCGTCGCAGCCACTGCTCGAGCTTTGCTTCAGTCTGGAACCGTCGGCGCTCATGCTCATCAGCGTGTCTTGGGTGCTCCCCTCGGGCTCGTGCCACCCTTCGGCCAAGTGGAAAGAGCTCGACATCCCGAGGGTGAGGAAATTACTGCTGCAAATTGACTCCTTGCCCATGGGAGACGGAGATTCCGGATCGTTCAAGCACCGTTTCCTGTTCAGAGTGAGATAGCTCGTCGGCCCAGTGGCACTGGAGCAGCTGTCTTTGGCCATGGACGGACTGGGGCAGGACTGTTTGAAGAGCAGTCCGTTCTCCGGGTACGACCCCAGGTCGGGGAAATATCCGCTGGCCGACGATGGGCTCTCGCTGTCGTGCCAAGGCGACACGGACGAGCAAGACTTGAGCTTGACCAGAGGCAGGCACGAGTTCCCGAGGGCGCTTCTGCAAGCACGGTGATCATGGGCGCCCGAGAATCAGAATGGGCCTCATAATGGCCGAATGCAACGAGGAGAACCAGGATTCTCCGACTGCGAGAGCGAGAGCGAGCGCAAGCGAAGCAGCCGAGAAAGATCGCCGGCGGGATGATTGCGGGTCTCGTACGTAGATTCAGACCTCAATATCTCGCAAGGCATCTCAATTATGTGCACGACTTTATGGAAGCTAATGGAAGCAAGAGCAGCACTGTTGATCCAACAACCCGAAACTGGCACTGCGTCCAGCTACCATTAGCTAGCTAGCTATGAGTCGTCTGTCTGTCTATGCAGCAGCAGCACAGTTGTGGCAATGATCGGCCGCTTACCGGACAATGCCGGTCGTGTAGTGCGCCCCCGCCCCGCCCCGATTGTCGGAAAGCATGTCTGGGCTGCCGAACGCGCAATGGCGATCGCTGTGGCCCATCTCGCTCTCGCCTGCGGGCGCATTCAGGTCCAAGGCCTGTGCATGGCTCGCTTGCCGCCCCTTCTCTTGCTGAATGGCGAGCCACGGCCGCTTTCTTCCCGACTCCTGTCACCAGACGAGCGCACGACCACATTAGACTCGTCTTCGGATCGATCGGACAATCTCGCTACCTGAGGACTCGAGTGGCATGGTTCTCACCGAGTGCTCCTCGGGGGAGAGCGCCAGGTTTGTATGACGGCGAATGTGGATGTTGCATGAGGTCCACGGATTCCTCACGTAAGATGACAGATTCAGATGCAAGGACCAGACGTAGGAGAACCTTACTTCTGTGAGAAATCTCTGGGAGGGTTGGAGCAAAACCCTGTGAGGTTGTCTCCTCGAGCCCTCACGGTTCACTCAGAAGTACTGCATTGACCCATTCGATGGAAGGCTTCGAGTCCGACCGGATCTGAGGAAGGTCGGAGACGAAGACCTTTCTCTACGCAGACGTAATAAATAAGCTCAAGCGGCCTTCTACCAGATGGAAGTTTCTATACTTTCTAGGATCAGAAAAACCCCAAGGAGTCCATAATTGTCCTAGCCCCAGACGCTTGTTGAATATGGATGGATGGATGGATGGCAAGGAAGGCGTCTTCTCGATGCACCGGATTGCGTTTGCCCGAGCACCTTTAGCGGCTCAATCCAATCACGTCTCGATGCAAATTTCAAGATATTACGAGGTGGCTGGCAGTTCAGGGCTCGGGTGGGTGACGGCCGTCCAGGACCCACGCAGCACAGATGTCGGACAACTAAGTGGGCAGACCGATGTCTATCATCTGCCCACTGAGCTTGCTCGGTCGCTCGACTGACGATTCGCACGAAGAAAACAACGGCCGAGAACATGCGTCAGAGTTAGCAGCGCTGCGGAGCCATCGCAAATCGAGAGATTACCTTGTCAGGAGAGGTCCAAGCTTCAATGCTCGGGTGGCTTTGGAATGAGGGGAGCTCCTTTGGTTTGTCGACGTTTGGTGTTACTCCCACCTAAGGCAATTCCACGGGGCAAATTACTCGATTGTCGTCATTTCTTGTATGAGAGGCAGCGAGACGGCCATGGGCCACGGAATTCCAGGATGCGAGAGAGAGACTCATGCTCATGATCAGATCATACTGGACACGACCAATGGATGCATGTCTAAATTTGGGCACAAATCATTATTTACGTGGACGAGGCCAAACAAGAAGCAATTACCAACTGCAGAAGCCTGGAAAACAAGTCTAAGCGCAGAGAATTGAAGGTGTGGAGCGTCCAGCTGGCTGGCTACACACTTGCAAATTTCATATCATAGGATAGGATGACTGATTTCGAAGAAACTAGAGTACGCACCACCGGCAACTCGATGCGCTTTCTTGGAATATGGGGCACATCCGAGCCTAGCAGTGATTCAAGATAGTGTGTAGGCTCAGTTATGGTGATCGGGATCCTTGATACGTCTTTGAAAACCGGATGAAGCTTATAACCAGCTGAGTCGTTGACCGGAGTTGCTGCTCCTTTCAGATTGTGGATTGCCGAGAAGATGTAGACCGGAGCGTTGGTGTTGTTGTTGTTGGTGGTAGTGGTGGAGGCGTTGTTGGAGGTGGAATGCTCGCCGAGGCCTTGCCCTACTCGCCGGTCGTCGTCGTCGAGGCCTTGGCCTTGGGCATCGTAGACCTGGAGAGGAGCCGTGGCCAGCACACTGGAGAAGAAGGGCACATTGGCAGCCGAGAATTTGGACGACTGATTGATGCAAGCTAAGGCCCTGGAAGCTACTCGTTTAGCATCGACGGCGGCATGATCGTGCGTGTTGTGGGCGTTGCATTTCCCTTGCGTCGACAAGCTTTGCGAGCTGGAGTGGCCGCTCAGAGCCAGACGGGACACGCCCGAGTCTCGCAAGCTCGAGGCTGCGGCCTGCCCATTGGTCAGCGACAGCACGGTCTGCGCGACCTCGCCGTCGCATCGAGACATGGAATGCTCCGGGGGCGTGCACAGGCGCAACGAGTAGGACGACGTGGGGCAGAGAAGGCTCTGCTCCTGCAACCGCAACTTCTCCAGCTGCGCCACCCCCAACCCTCTCTGAGGCTGCTTCTTCTGCGCATTCTTGCCTTTCCTCGCGCGGCGCTTCTTGTCCGCGCTTGCTCCATCTGTCGCTCGCATCAGCAACGTTGCCATGTCGATCGCTAAGCATTCATGGTGCCCGCCCTCCCTCGTCCGCCCCGCGTCGCCCTCTCGTCTCCTCCCCTCCCTCCCCCACTCCCTTACTCCCTTACTCCCTTGCGCCTCTCCTCTCCTCTCCTCCTCGCTCCCCTCGCAGATGATGCTCCAACAGCTCTGATTGATAGATCTTCGGTCCGGCAGCGCCACCAGCAGCAGCAGAAGCAGTTGCTATTTGTCGATGGCAGTGAGTTTGTCTGATGCACTCAGAGAGAGAGAGAGAGAGAGAGAGAGAGAGAGAGAGAGAGAGAGAGAGAGAGAGAGAGAGAGAGAGAGAGAGAGAGAGAGAGAGAGAGAGAAGGGGGGGAGTGTGAGCGATATGGAGGGGGACGGGGGGGAGGTGGAGCAGTGGATGCAAGCTCAGAATACACCTCTCCAGAAGCAAGGGGAGGAGCGCGGAGGAGGTCAGGAGAAAAAGCCACGGGCCGGAAGGGAGGGCGCAGGAGCTTCCGTGGGAAAAAGAAGGTGGGATCTCTTTCACTTTCGTCCTGCCTTGTGCAGTAAGAGAGACATCCGAACCGCTAGGCGCTCGGGGCTACAACTCTTGCGCTCAACGAAAGGAGCGGACACGAGACGAGAAGAAAGGGCTTTGGGGACAAACCAGGGCGAGGGCAAGGGCAAGGGCGAGGGCCTCAAGGACTCGAGGGACCAAAGGCGATAGCTGACCGCGACGAAGGCCAGACGAGATCCGAGACAAGCAAGCAAGGCGAGGAGCGAGACCGAACTGCATACGACCCCCACCCCCCTCCTCCACTCCAGCCCCAGCAGCGGCAGCTGCTGCAGCCCCCCAGTACGACCGCTGCACTGCACTCTCCTACAGTCTCCTCCTACAGGACTCAACACTCTCGCTTTGTTGGTTCGAGTGTCTTTGTGTCCTTCTGTTGTGTCCTCGTCTCTATATGATAGCTACCTCCAGCGCGTGTGGCATGTGGGAGCCAGTACTCTTGCCCTCCATTCCATTCACATTTCCATCTGCTATTTCTCTCACTCGGTCACGGTCACGGTCACGCCAAGCCAGCCGCCCCAGCCCCAGCCCCAGCCCCGGCCTCTCGTGTGACCGAAGCCTACAGGAAGTGGGTACCGAGTGCGAATGAACGCGAGTGAAATGTTTCTCAGAGCAAGCGGTGACTACCATGATGATGTAAGCGCTAAAACGAATGTGACCGAATGATTAAGAAAGCCGAGAGTTGGTTCAGTTCAGAAGCTATCTTGATATTCTTCCACTTCATGTGGTAAAAAATATAAAACTTGAGCTCGGCAGAGATCCCTGGATGGAGTACACGAAAAAGAAATGTGTTGTTTTCTTGCTGGGAGGGATCGCCTTTTCCCAGGTGCTCGATCGATGCGAGCAGGTCAGCGGGCTCGGCATGTGGTGGGCTGGCCCGGCCCGCTCTAGAGAAGCAACGGTGGTGCTGCTATTTTCCTCTCGGGGAGCGAGCAGCGACGGAGCGTCTGGGGGTCTGACCGTGCTTCGCTCGGGCGAATTCTTGTCCGAGCGACCAGCAGCAGCATCAGCACCAGGTCGCGGCTGCTGCTGCTGCGATCGACGACATCATCCATAGATACTCTCCACGCCTCCTGCGGCCCCTTGTTCGGCAGATCCCTCGGAAGCCTTACTTCCAAATACTGCCCACCGGGGCCTATATTTACTGTTGTTCTCTCCCCCCCACCCACGCAGGGAGGGACGGACGGACGGGCGGACGGAGAAGGGCGGACACCTTTACCACTCCACCTCTGACCGGCATGCACGCAGGTCAGAGCCGGTCGGTGCTGGTCTCACATCGGACCGGTCGATGATCCCGCAGCGACCATAGATCTCACATACTACAGGACACGTGTCGGCACAAGAGCAGCGCCGAGCAGATCCTCCTCGTTGCTGCTTTTTCGACGACCGATTTCCGACGCGGAGATGGAGATGATATTTGCCTGCCGCGTTTGACTGTCGGCTCGCCATTTCGGCCGAATGCGGGAACACGAGGACGCCGCGCATCACATCACATCGACTACGTCGTGACGCCTCGATCCGATGCGAGATCGAGCCGGACGGACGGAGCGAGGCTACCGACTGACGGAGACACTCACTCGCGCGTGCGTCCTTCCTTGTGTGCGCAGAGGAGAGGACGGCGGGGCCCCCACGCCCCAGTTTCGGAGAAGATGAAACTCTCTCGCCTGTCACTTCGGGAACGAACCGAGGCGAGGTTCCCCCTGCCTGCCTGCCTGCCTGCTGCGCGGTTTCCGAGGTTGATTTCGCCCTCCCCACAGCAAGCCCATCCATGTCCGAACACTCCCAGCGTCGCCGTCCGCCCCTGCCTCCCATGATAGCGATGATGATCATGTTCACATGCTCCAACCGCATCACCATCCTTCTTCGCGCTCCGAGATACTCTATGTCCCTGCCTATGTGTATGGGAATCATGGGCCAGTATCTAGCAGCGCCCCCCCGCCCCTCGCTCCCTCGCTCCGCTTGCTTTCCTCACTGTTTCTCCCTCGCTCCGTGCTATGCTAGGCTCGGCTAGGCTATGGTAGGAGGCAGATGACATGCTTGCTGTGCGAGGAGGGCAACGGCGACATGCCTTTCTCTTCAATTATATTCCGAGATGTCTTGTCTGGCCGTTATACTGTAGGAGGGAAGGGGCGGGGGCCGGGGGCGATGGGCCTGAAATCTCCGGCCATTCCATTTGGAAGCATCTTGCGTGAATGTCCGTCTCCCTTGGAATGTTTACTCTGATTCTGCTCGTGACGCGCCTCTGTGATTTGGTGCTGCTGCAACCCCCCTGCAGTGCAGTTCGGGGACCCTACGGATCGAGGATGGGTGCCTGTGGACGGGCCGATCTCGATCTCGATCGCTCGCACACTTGAATCATTCATTCGGTCAAATCCGGTCAAAGTTTCTCCAGCAGGTAGATTGTTGTATATCTATCAGGGTTTTATTTCCTACCATATCATTGTGCTGCCCTTTCTTCATGGTACAACTACCATCTTTGTGTGAACCTGTGCCGCGAGTCGGGAGTCCAGAGTTCCGAGGGAGGCACCGAGGGAGGACCTCCTCTCTGTACAGTACACTCGATTCTCTCAACTTATTCTTTTCAATTTATTACCGATGTTTCAGTCTCCATCATCATAAATCACTCTCAATCCAGGTTTTCCATTACTTCCGGTCTGTGATTTAGCCGAGAGAGTCCTAGTCCAGTACGTTGTACATGTCGCGGAGTAGCTGGAAGTCAGTTTCGACTCCACTCACATTGACTGATTTGGCCATCTCATTCATTATCGACACTTCATGTTGGAGACAAAGAGCGGAGGCACGCAGTCAAAGTTAGCCTTTGTCAAAACTAGCTCTGACGGCGACTTATTGCCCTTCCACAACCCCTCTCTATATATATCCGTCGCTATCATCAATCATCACCATCAACTCCGTTTTATCGTTAGTTTAGTCTACATATCAGACACTAGATCAGCAAAGTCAAAGATAGCTTGTGTCCAAACCGACTCCGAGGTACATTAACCTGTAGAGGGTACTTGAATGTGGACGGTCTCCTTCCCACATTTCATCACCTGTATATTTTCCAGGCTCCGTTAGCGCACACGAAAATCATCACATCCCATTTCATGTTTCATGCTACCTCATTTCTTCAGGAAAAAAACCCACAATCTTATTTATTTTGGCCGGAACCAAGTGTGAGAAGCTCCATGATTTGTCAGGTTCGCCGGGCTGGGGCTTGAAGTATTCTGGTTTCTTCAACATCTCCTTCAAACCTGGTACGTTCTCGCCTCGCAGACCACTGTCGGGAGTTGTCTCTCTATATAGAAACAAAAAAAGAATGGTTAAAAAGTCAAAGTTAGTTCTGTATCCAACTAAATTCGAGCGCAGCTAAAATCATTCCGTTTGGAATCCCCAAGTCCCAAGATTGATTCTGCTTCCTGGACCGGCTAAGACCTGGGATTGGAGGTTAGATAACATGGGCACTCATTTCAGTCTAGAGAGCAGACTTCATTGAGTGTCACCCCGACTTGGACTGATGGACTTTGTGGGATGATTTACAACAGGCTCGAAAATGATCCCCAAAGCTAGACACACTCGTTTACCCCCTTCTTTACCCTCTAATACAACTCCTTAATGTACTATCTCAGAAAGTTACGTCCCTACATTTTTTAAGTTTTTAAAATAACTGTTTAGTGATAACAATAATACATATTCGAAGTTTGCGTGTGCGTGTGTTTTTTTTATATGCCGAGAGACCTCGTGCTTTGGTAAACGAAACACGAGTGCCTACATCCCATGATATAATTCATGTTCCCATGAATATTTTGCATAGGAAATAGGCCGTTTTCAGATAGTGTTTGCATGATACCTCAACCTGTCAAACCTAAGAGACTGCGAGCCTATGACTTGCATGAACTCTTTGACTCTCAGGTTCTATCATCCAGAACTAGACGTGAGAAAAAGACTTATTCGCGCCTCTCGCAGGCCCCAATTTCACATCACGGTGGAATTAAGGTTGGATGACTCTGTGAACTGTAGAACTGAACTGTGTTACAACTACTTTTTGAAGGTTGGTTCACCAGACTATGCAGGTTGTGTTATTTATTTCTTGAGTGATCGAACGAGAGACTGAAGCAAGTCACCACTGGACTGAAGTTAATTTTAGCGTATGATTTCAAGACCAAAACTGATGTCCACTTATTCTTTTCATGAAAGGATTTTTCCCAAGTGCGTGCGTGAACACTTACCTCAGCATAGAATAATGTTCTGTAAAGTCCTCTATTTTATAAGGTTGCTATAATTGGTGCTCTGCACCCAAATCAATAATAAGAAAGCCGAAGAGCCCACTGTTTGTAACCGAGAGGAATCTAGAAAGCTGTAAATAAAGTCTGCGAGTTCAAAAAGTTCGTTCAGATTTTGAGATGTGAACCAGATATCACATATTCACAATGGTTTCAAGAAGCCACTGTACCGTTGCTGCTTTTACACCAAACATCCAACAGTTTCTCCATGTATTTCGATGCAAGAAGAGTACTGTACCGCTTGCCTTTTGCACACCCCAAGTTAAATAATTTTGCTCGGGTTGGCGTGCAATCATAAACATCTACGTTGGAACCAGCTTCTATTAATATTAGATTGCTGTCCACCGAGGTCGGCAGACTTGAAGTCGACATTAGATCGCTATCCATCAATGTCAGGCAACTCGGAGAACGTCGGTGTCATCTGCCTTGTTGCATAATTTCGGCTCGGGTTGCAGTACACCGTGGGGTCCCTGACCTACTTCCAGGAACGAGCTCCCGTGGCCTTCGACTCTGATTTCACCCATTCACTCATTGTGGATGACAAATGGGTCCACATCCCTATCGTATCTGTCGTGGATTTTGCCGCTTAGAATTCCCAATCACTCTGCGCACATTTTCTTTCTTTCTGGTGTATCAGGCTTTCGGCTCGCCGAGGTCAAGTATCCAGTCTCGGCTCTGGTATTCTTTCCATTTGGAGCTTTGGAGAGTACCTGACATACGGGACTTGTCAAACATGTGAGGTACAATTTCAACAAAATATTGCGCACGTAGTAGTGATTTTAGTTCTATTTCTAGTTGACTGTCCTGCCATATAAACAACTAAATTTTCAAATTATTATACGTACACAACAATTTTCTTATTCATGACTTGGTATGAATTTTTTAATAATATTAAATAGCTTAAAAATTTCAAGAAACTATCACAATATCATAATACGCGATAAATTATTAAT